AATTCGGTTTCAGGGCTGACAATTTTTTTTTATTTTGGTTTCGTTTCGGTTTTTACATTTCTATTTAGGTGCACCTCTAATTTCCAGGGTTCCTCTGGGGTAAAAGTTTGAGGAAGGATTCCTTAAAGAGATGAAAATGAATGGGGCGATTCAGCAGCTGAGTGGATCCTGGAGGATTTCTAGGTTTAGGACTAGACTTTGGACTTTGTAGATTAGCATGCAAAGTAAAGGCTGCGATTGGTTGTCTTCCAACCACGTGGCCACTAAGCCCATGCACAGCAGGGGGAAAGGGTCAGCAGTGCCTGTGCTTTGAAGGAGCATGATCCAATCTGCAAGATGATGGGCATGTGCCACACACCGCAGCTCTGATCTCTTTCCCATTTCAAGATCGAGCTGGGGAGGAGGGGGTCAATTACCTTAGTTACTGGCAGTTTGGGAGCTCCGGATGGATGGATCCTGATTACATTACATGCACACTCATACCAGATGTGGTTTCATGCAATTTGCTGGGTGCTGATAGCTATAATATTAACTAAACCAACTCGCGTTAGTGGAGGTGAATCCAACTAGAACGATAAACGTGTGTTCAAGATATTATGTATGCTGGACCCGTACATCAAGAGAAGACTTGCTTCCAGAATAAATGGCTACGTGATACCCCATGCAGGCTCCTTTAAATTCTACAGACGTATGGATTGTGGGGTAGGCATACCTGAGCTCTATGGGTCAATGATGTCAGCCAGGTTCCCCAAATTGGTAAACAGCCAACCCTCTCCTTGTTGAGGGCATGTGTCTGGGTATGGTTCAGAAGGGCTGCTCGGCTCTTTTTTTTGCATGGGATTACCCCCTAAAATTTATACCAGACCCTCATTAAGAAGAGTCTAGTATACCCATACTTGCAACTAAGCCATTTTGTATCCAGTCACCTCACTATGCCTTAGCGAGAAATGATTTGCCCACCACTTGACCCCTTGTTCTCCTCCCCCCAGGTAAAGATGCCCTTATCGCCGCCAGGTAATGACCTCTATTCTGGAATCCTCCTCCTCCGTTCCATCTCATATTAGACGCTGGGCAGAATATTTGAATATGTCCCCGGAGGACACACTCTCGATGGTGATGCAGGGTTGGCAACAAATCAGGAAAGCTATAATAAACGAAGCCTGGCGCAAGATATACTTTAAAACTGTCCACAGGGCATATCACGCCTTTAAAATTCCGGCCAGGGACACCCTCTCCACATAGTTAACGGCTTGTCCGAAATGTTCTTTCCCCCTACCTGACCTCCCACATCTACTCTGGTCATGCCCGCAAATTCAATCCTTTTGGTCCACAATATTAGATTTCATGAATTACCACTCCCGCAAGACGAGAACGCTGTCCCCTGCCTTCTGCCTACTACACGCCCTTCCCTCGCACGCAGGGGCTAGTCCCGCTCACCCGTCCCGCTGGGAACATCTGTGCCTCCTGACAGCAAAAAAGACGATTCTATGCAACTGGATCGCACCTGAACCCCCATCCATGGACACCTTCCGCCCCCTGCTCAATCGTCTGTTATTACTGGACAAACTAGATACAAAATTTAACCAATTGCGCACTAAAAACTTCTTTGACACTTGGACATCTTATGTTACAGCAGAGTATTCACTGCAGCAATTGCAGGATTTGATGTCCATTTTTCGATTTTCTAAATGGTATCTGGAGGCACAATTGACTGGCTCCCTGGGCTCACTGGATGTCCTTTAAAGTGACATTAAACCCTCAGATTTTTTAACATAAACCAATACTGTAATGTGCGCCTTACTGTAATCCATGGTAGTCTCCCTTCTCTTTGCTGCTCTTCCTTTTAAATCAGTATCTGTTCTCATGCTGGGCAGAACTTCTATTTTGCAGCAGACTGCCTTGTCTCAGGAATAGATACACGGTGTCTGTGTATAAGTTTGTATAGCCTTGTAACCTGAGCCAGCACTACAGGAAGAGGCCCTGAGCTGAAAAGGGAAGTTCTCCACAAGCATGAGAAGACATGAGGATTTAAAAGGAAGAGCAGCAAAGAGAAGGGAAACTACCATGGATTACAGTAAGGCGCACATTACAGTATTGTTTTATGTTAAATCTAAACAATGTCACTTTAATCCCTAACAGTCCCAAACTCATTTTTTATAGCTCTTACATTACATAAAGTACTTACGGAGGCTAGGCCCTCCTGAGATGCCCACGAGTACCCACGCCATGGAGATACGGTCCCCTACCCGGAGTTCTGACACTCACGGCCCTAAGGTTAAATGGTAGTAACTACCTCTGTGTTCTTACGCACAATACAGAATCGCTCTGATATGTTCCACCCTATGATGATCTAGTTTTCTCTTCCACAGTGTTTGAATATGTCGTTATACATATAGGGATCGCAATCTGCGTACTGGTACATGCCACTTTAGATATTATATGTATTGTGTTTTACTATACTCTTTCAATAAAAATTTAACATGCTAAAAAAAAAAAAAAGAAGAGTCTAGTATGGATTTTTTATTTGGGGGTGTGAAGGGGCACATGCTGTTACAT